AATTTAATTGTATTTTAAATTCATTTTGTCCTAAGGATATTTTCACCTGATTTCACTATTTCTTTTCTCAAATGACTCAAATCAATTGAAAGTTGTTTTCATCATACGCATTCAAGCCTGGTTGACTGCCTTCATTTACATCATTCGTGCAACCTCAGCGCATTTTAGACTCCATCAAGATTTTGTCATATTTGCCAACATCCAACCTTTTTCGAGAGATTAATTCACCGGTGAAGCTAGTGAATCAGTCACGTGTGTGCAAAATCAAAACGATTTGAGGTGGCTGTCATCTTGCCCGTGCAGTGCTTTGGGTCTTAGGTCTTTTGTTTGCAGAGCCAGCTTGAAAGAGCGTAAATTATGGCTGACAAGAGAAGGCTTTCTTGGATGGGTACGGGGATGAGGACCAAGTTGTGGCTGCCTTAGGCTGATTGATGCAATGCACTCCAAGAAAGGGTGATTAATATATTTACTATAGAGGAAAAACCTACAGTTAAATTCAAAACCAAAACAAGTACAAAGTTTAGAGCATAATATTCTTGTTGTTAATTTCGAAAATAAATAAGGATTATAATATTAAAATATCCTTATTTTTTCCTGTGCATTTGGAGCCCTGCAATCTTTTGCCACTTGACTGTAAGCCGCGAATCCACGGCTTCAGAAATCGGAGTCATTCCAAGGCACGCATGACAGCTGCCATGTGCGCTGGCATCCCAGCATCCTGCTATCCTAGCGTTCTAGTACCCTAGTATCCTGTGGAACCTGGCATCCTCACAGCCTCGCTGTTAACCGCAGCAGTGCAGGGCCAACGCTTCTACGCGCTTTGTCCTTGTCACCTTTTTAGTTTTCGGCGTGTTGACAGCCAAGCACTCTGTTGACATCGCATCTAGTAATAGTTTGACACTGAGAGAAATTAAGGGATTGTACTTGGAAACTTATAACCAACAGCACGACTTTTTCTTAAAGTATTAGTTACTATAAAACCTATATGGTTCAGATTTCTTAATTAATTTCCTGCTTATCAAATACCTAATTATTTTGCTTTCTTTTTTCATCGTGCAACCATCACCTCTCAACATTGGCTTTATATCCTGTGAGTGCATTTATCTCGATCTGGAATGCCTTTTGAATAACTTGCCATATTAGCCTGTTTCCGTTTCCTTTCAGCTCAGCGCCCCAGCTTAGTTGTGTCTGTGCTGTGTGTGTCCTTGTGTGCGTATTTGTCAAAAGGATTTTGGCAGTGATTTAGCTGCTGGCCCAAATTTCATACCAAATTCCGTCTCTCTGCCTGACTGACAACGTGTCCCTGACTCGCCACCTCGACTCCTGACTCCTTCCTGCTGGGAGAGAGAGAGCGAAAGACAGACAGGATTAGGTCGCGCCCAGCCCTTTTAGCCGCTGCAAATTAGCTGCCTAATTGTTTGCCAAAGCCGCAACTTTGGCCATTTCTTCTTCTATTCTCTTGGCCAGGATTTAGTAGAGGGGGAAGAGACAGGGAATTGCGTTTACCATTTGCCGAATGACAGCTGAATAATGTGCGCCCCATAAGCAATTAACGCGCCTGCGGGGCTTACACACGTACTTTGCTCGAGTGTGATTACAGTTGAGGACAAAATTGTAATACCTAGGCTTCTAGAGACATTTACTTTTGGTTTAAGGTGGGATATAATTAAGGAAATATGGTATTTAGATGATATTAGGTTTTGAATTTCATTTCAGAGCTAATACAAATCCAAAAACGCATTTCTTATGCTCGATACATTTTTTTATCATATTATATTTCTATATTTTAAAGTTGTATTTTATTACAAGCTATTATTTTGACCGCAGCTGTTCGTATGTGTAAGTGCCTAGGTATTTGTTTGTGTGTTCCTTCAGCGAGCTTACAAATTGAGTCAATAATTTTGCTGGGCCTTTGGTTGGGCGGGATGTTATCCTGTTCCCTCTGCAGGTCCTGCTCCCCCTGCTGCTCCTTTCCTGGTGGCACTTTGTGCATAATAAATAAACGCCATGAAATACGCGACTTAACACGCAATGTACGGCAAAGTCGCATGTCTCCATCTCCCAGAGAGAGAGTGTGCATGCGTGTGTGTGTGGGTAAGCGCCATATGACACCACCTTGACTCATTAATTACGCACTGGCATTTTTATTTTCATTGCATACTTTTATGCAATTTATTATTACGGCATTGCGGGACAGCGCTGAAATACAAATTGCCTTTTTTTTTACACGCACATACTTTTAAGTATATGTGCATACACTTGTGACTTATTTACGGAAAAACACACACACACATACAAGAAGGACAAGCCGCAAATGAAATGTGTCCTGGTTTTTTTTTTGGGGGGGCTGCCTTCCATCTTAGCTCCTTGGCCGTTGCCTGATTGCCAATGTCCTTGTTGGCATTTCTGTAAATATATTCATATGCAGTACGTTTCGAAAAGATATTGCACTCTTTCCTTGGAGATTTAATTGTTAAAAATAAATTATATACGGAATATTTGAGATTTCGGTTTAATTTTGTGATTGAACTGAAAAAATATTTAATTGTGTTTACTTACTGAAGTTACTGAAAATTATATAAAAAATGTTGATTGTTTATTATACGATTTCTGTTTGACGATTTTACTGGAATTAATAGGTAATTTCTAAGAATAAACCTTCGATAAAGTATATAGTTAGTTATAATTGCAAGGAAATAATTCTAAACTGTATTCTTTTAATGAAACCCACTGTATATGCGTAACCACAGAATATTTCTTTGCAACATTTCAAAGGTAATTGTGCAACAATAAACTCGAATCTGCCCCCAGAGATATGTACATTCCTTAATCAAAGTGCTGCTAAACTTAATTTTACCAAACGTACAGAAAAGGGAGAGAGAGTAAGGGCTTTAATCTTAATGCCAGATCGCAGCGAATTTCAGTTTCATTTATACATACTTTGCTGGTGGCAAACCCCTTGAATTTCGAATAAATATTCACTTTTTACTTCACTTGTTGTTGTGGTTGCATTATTATTGTCGTAGTTGTTGTTTCGGCGGTGGTGGTGCGATGCTTCTGTGGTTCTGCTGGTCGAAAATTCCCCAAAGAATCTGACGCACTTATCGCAAATTACTTTGGCAGTTGCAGCGTAGCGCAGCGCAGCGTTGCTTTTGTGTATAAATTTAACAATTTACCCATACACGTGCAGGCAATGTGTACATGGCCAGCACAGGGGATTGTAAATTACCATACATACACACACACACATACACATTAAATGTGTCCAAGGAACGTGCAGTGTCCATGGTCGCCAGGACAGGATTTTGTAAAACTTTTGGCCAACATGGCGTATGCATAATATTTCTCCCTGCCGCATGTCGTCCAAACAAACTTCATTAACAAGCCAAGCTGAAGCCCACCAACTTGCCGCAATAACAATGCAAATGTAACAGCTCGAGATGTTGCAGTTGGAGGTTGCAGATTGCAGTTGCAGTTGCAGTACCCGTTGCTGCATTCCTCCAATTAGCCGGACAACTCATTAAGCTTTCCCCGGCGACTTACCGCTTCTTTTTTTTTTTAAAGCCCACTCTCTTCTCTGTGTGGCACTCGTCAATTAGCATTTGTTTCGGGGCGTTTAATGGCCATCCAGATGTTGCTGCTGCTGCTGCAATAATTTATTGTTGCCGTTGTTGCCGGTTTTTTCAGCTTCATAAGATGTTAACGCGCACTTAATGCCACTTAAAAATACGCATAAATCGCTGAAAGAGTTCGGTTGAAATCGGGGGACAGACTGCCGGCCACTTGTCCGCTTACATGGCTACTTACAACGCTGCTCAAGCATATGCATGCAGATGACCATGTTTCCCACTACCGTCCAGCCAACCCAACCACCCAACCACCCAACCACCCAACCACCCATGCTCCACCCATAAGCCAACCCAGTGAACATCAGTAGCAGCTGCATAAAAACAAGGTCGAAACAGGGGACAGCAGAATTATATATACAACAAAAATAAACCAGAAAAATAAATATAAAAATGAAACAGAACAACGGCAGAGAAACAGCAACTGCGGCACGCAATTAAGTGCATTTAATTAATTATTGTTGATAAAATAATATTTTTGCAATTTATTGTACAAGCGGCAGTTGGGCGTTTTGTGTCTGTGGTGCGGGTGGATCCACCGTCCATGCACCACCACCACCACCACCCGTTATTTATGCATATGTGAGCACAAATAAATAACGCCAACGATGGCCGCATTAATACAAATTAAAATTGGAGAAGGATTCGACTAGAAGATATCCTTTTTTGTATGAAATTGTGAACAATAAATTGGGAATCTAGACAACAAAAAAAAGGGAAAAGATTTGAGGTACTTCTAAACATAATTGAGTAATAGTTTTGAATTAATCTAAATCTTACATGGCGAAATGCACAAAAAAATGTTCCTAAGCAAATGTTGCTAAGCTATGTTGCTAGGAAAACTGTCATAAAAATAAGCTAAAAATAAACACTTTTAAACTCCAATTAAAGGGTATTGAAAATCGTTTACTTTTGGCTTTCCTGCGTTGACGTTATCACAACTCTGGCAGTAACCGGCCGCAGACGCAGCGATATCGCTCCCGGTGGCAGCATTATTCCCTATCACATCGGCAACATCGAAACTATGGCAGATCAATTCGAATAACAATAATTTCTTCCGGTCGAATGGCAGCGGCAGAACAATCAGACAGCGCCAGAGATGCAGATAGGCGACGGCAGCCGGCGAATATGTATCTGTATCTGCATCTGCAGCTGCGGTTGTTTGCTGCATTTTAAACAGGATGCGCATAAGTATTCGAGGATTGACAGGATGTGCGGGTCATGCACACACACATACACGCCCCCTCCCCTCCTACTCCTACTCGAACAAGCCCCCTTTTTAAATCTGAGGACGAAACAACACGTGTTCAGGCGCAGGGTCACACCCCCACACACTAATTTGTATTGTTTTCGCTGTTAATGAATTTCATATAATGTATTTCATACATATATTGTATTTATTCGTACGCTCTTAATGCGAAAATTATTTGCGTTGACATCTACGGAATTTTAAAATGAATGCCAATTCCAGGAAACGGGATTTAAGTGATGAGGATACGTAGTTATTGGTTAGTTAACCAATTATTATAATGTATATATAATTATTCCGGGAAATAAGATACGTCTCGTGTCATAAAGAGCTTCTTCTCATTAGAATTTGATAAGATTTTCTTTAAAATAAATTAATTATTGATAAGTATGGCAAGCTAAAATGTTATAGTATTTATTTACCTGGAGATTACTTGCCCCACTCCTCACGCTCCAAGCGCTCTTTGATCACTTCGTTTAGATAGGGTTCTAGGTACTTGACATCATCCTCGTACTTGGTCCACTCTTCCTCGGGCAGGATTGTCTTGGTCATTGAGAGATGGAGAGCTCTCATAATGCGATAGTTGCGTTCATCGTACAGATCACGTGGCAGGCGACGCACTGCCTCCTGCACATCCGCATTTTCGTGCAGACAGTCATCACGGTACAATCCGTACTTATTGAATCCGGACAAGTTGTATGCCCATCTTCCCAGCTTGGAGAACACCACGGGTCCCTTTCGGGCACAGTATTGAGCCATGATTTTTGGAAAAATTACAGAATACTTATCAGTTTTTGGGTTGCCTTGTTAGCTAAGGAATGACAATGATTACAGAAATGACAGTATTATACCTGGTAAAGCGATTAAGACTATTTCTCCAAGAAAACCTTTATAGAATTAACACTGAAATCTTAAAATATTTAATGAGAAATGTTACCTTTAATATCTTTACAGTCATACTATACTATGTTCTTTCTTGAAATTAGATCGAAAATCTTAATTTGTATGCTTAAGAGTAAGAATACCCTAAAAATTACGCTCCCATTTTCAAAAAACCCCATAGCTCTTCCATTTAAAACTTCCAAAAAGAAACCACAGCAAAAGACAAAATATGTGATAAAATACTTTCGGCATTTATACGAAACTTGCAGAGCATATTGCATATTCTGGCATAATTTTATGGGTAAGACTTCTCAAACGTATATGCGGAACAAGTAACTTCTGTCGAATACTATCCATCTTAGCAAGGACCACAAGGACCAAAGACACATCCAGGGGGTCCGCATGGTCCGTAGGGTCCGCAAGGTCCGCAGGGCCCGTAGGGTCCGCAAGGTCCGCAGGGCCCGTAGGGTCCGCAAGGTCCGCAAGGTCCGAAGGGTCCGCAAGGTCCGCAGGGTCCGCAAGGTCCGCAGGGTCCACAAGGTCCGCAGGGTCCGCAAGGTCCGCAGGGTCCACATGGTCCACATGGTCCACATGGTCCGCAGCGTCCTTCTGCGATAGGATACTGGTTTGTGGAGAAGCAGGGCAACGGGCAGCAGGGTCCTCCGGGTGCACAAGGTCCAATTGGGCACGGTGGACAGGCGGCACTGGGTTTGTAGTTGATGGGGCCGTTGGGATAGCAACAGTACTCCCTGGGCGGCGGGATATCGATGGTCTGTGGCTTTGGCTGGCACAGAATGGATTGGCACACCTCTCGCGGCTCGCAGACGCGTTTGGGATAGCAAACCACATAGGGATCGGGGATCATAGATGGATAGTAGATGACCCTCGGTTCACGCACCATTTGCGAGACCCAGATGAGTTTGGGAACCTTGATAACCCTCGTTGCGTCAACCACTTTAGGGATGGTGATCTGCCGGCAGCGGTTCACGACCATCGGTTCCGGGACAATTTTTTCCGTGAACACGACCCGCTTCTTACAGATCATCCGCGGCGGTTGCTGGACAGTGATGCATTTGGGAAAAGGCGGCGGTATACGCGGGGCACATTGCGGCAGTGCCTCCAACTGGGCGGCATTGTAGCACTTGGGGGAACACTCGAAGGGGCCGCAGCATGGATCGCACGGGCTGCAGGGACCGCAAGGAGAACACATGATTTCGTTTTAAAAAGATATTCCGAAAATATTTTAAAAGAACCGAGAACTTTTTTTTTGTCTGGGGTTTACAATTTAATTTGAGTAATTTGGATGTGACTCGAAGCGAAAGCAAGTTCGAAATGGCACATAGAAATACCCAGACCTAATGGTAAGCCAGAAAGTAAAAGGCAAGGCCTACTAGATATAGTTTTGTAAAGAATTTCTGCTTCATTTGGTGTTGCCAGATTTTTTCCTTAGCTAAAATATGAATCAATATCCAATGAGATTCGCTTAAATCCGATTCTTTTTATTACAGCCAATGAGTCGTCAATGCGTGTTTACAAAGCAAGGTGGACTATAGGACTTTGGAGTTTGGTGTGTGTGATGATCATTTGAGCGGAAGTCGGAATAGACAAGTTCTGGTCCACACGGTACTCGGTTCTGACAACGTGCAATTGCAATCCAGGCGATCCAGTCGTCCACAACGGAAATCCAGATCCACATCTTAACAGGGGCCGCAGGGACCGCATGGCACTTGTGGTCCGCATGGTCCGACGGGGCCGCAGTGCGTGTTCCATGGAGTCGGAGCACATGGATAGCAGGGCCCACACTCTGGCGATTCATATGGACACGGGGGAGAGCAGGGGCCACAGGGTCCGCACACACCTGCTGGCGAGTTGCTAAGCGGTCCGCATGGTCCGCCGGGAGAACAGGGTCCGCATGGTGACGGCACAAAGGGACCCGATGGCATCGTGAGGCCGCAGGGCCCACAGTTGGGCACAGCGCAAGGACCACAACCGCCACCACAGCGTGGTGGTCCGCATGGTCCGCATGCCCCAGGTCCACAAGGTCCACAGGGTCCACATGGACCGCAGGGTCCGCATGGTCCGCAGCGTCCTTCTGCGATGGGATACTGGTTTGTGGAGAAGCAGGGCAACGGGCAGCAGGGTCCCCGGGTGCACATGGTCCAATTGGGCACGGTGGACAGGCGGCACTGGGTTTGTAGTTGATGGGGCCGTTGGGATAGCAACAGTACTCCCTGGGCGGCGGGATATCTATGGTCTGTGGCTTCGGCTGACACAGAATGGATTGACACACCTCTCGCGGCTCGCAGACGCGTTTGGGATAGCAAACCACATAGGGATCGGGGATCATAGATGGATAGTAGATCACCCTCGGTTCACGCACCATTTGCGAGACCCAGATGAGTTTGGGAACCTTGATAACCCTCGTTGCGTCAACCACTTTAGGGATGGTGATCTGCCGGCAGCGGTTCACGACCATCGGTTCCGGGACAATCTTTTCCGTGAACACGACCCGCTTCTTACAGATCATCCGCGGCGGTTGCTGCACCGTGATGCATTTGGGGAAGGGCGGCGGTATACGCGGAGCACATTGCGGCAGTGCCTCCAACTGGGCCGCATTGTAGCACTTCGGCGAGCACTCGAATGGGCCACAGCATGGATCGCAGGGGCTGCAAGGACCGCAAGGAGAACACATTTTTATTTTTTGACTCGAGTTCACCAAAAATTATAATTTTAAGGGAAAAAAACACAATTTTTTTTTTGTTTTACAAAATTTTTGCGGAACAATAATTTGGAAGTTATTCGGAGCGAAAGTGGAAACTGAATGAGTCCCAACGGCACGACGACAGCACTGTGAAAATTCTAGGCCATCTAAGATCGATTTCTGGCAAACGGAGCTCTTTGATTTCGTACAATTTTTATTTTTTTAAACATACCATATATTGTTTAAAAAATATTTTAGGTATGGCAGCTCAATGTTTAATCCTTTAACCGATGCATTGAAAAAATACCAAACGTTTCTTGAATGGAATGCATTTTACGAACCGAATTCCATCTCCACATGACGTATGCGCGATGTAGTATCTGCATATATTTCAACAATATGGCATCTGCCGTTGAGTGGGTTTAAGCCTTTAATATGCTAGCGCCTTTATGTAGGCGGAGCGCCTTTTTTTCGCCCTGCCGAAAGCCAACTTGGAAAAACTACAGCGAATTACAGAAAAACGTCGGAAAACACTCTGGCAAGAGCGGCCTATTGAATATACATATATGGGCCTTGTTGTTTTCTTTCTTTTTGTTTTTGTTTTTTTGTTTTTTTTTTTACCAACACAGTGGCAGTGCCTGGACATGTCAGCGCCGAAAAAAAAGCGTTTGCTATTGGGCTGCGGATTTTGAAAGCCTTAGTGCGTGGAAGGGGGCGGTGCAATCAGCGCTTTGTGCATGCCACAACCATGGCGACATTGAACAATTGCGCATTCACAAAAAAAAAAAAACAAAAAAATAGAGAACAAAGAGCCTGGTCACAGCGGAGCATCCATGTTGACAAAGGCTTTGGCAGTCGATTCAGGTAAATTCTAAAATATTTGCTGCATTTTAAGCATAAAAGATTATGGAAAAGAAACACTAACTACGGGATGATGAAATATTTTTGCAAATACTTGTAAACGAAGTTTATTATGAATGCTTTTAATGTGTAATTTTATTCAATAAAAAGAAAAACAATTAATACATATGATAGAATCTTTAAATTGACTAAAAATGATTCATAAATTGTTAAGAAATAACTTCAATTACTTAAGACTTCCACTTTAACCATGTTCCTTTTAAATATCCCTATAATAAATGTCTTAATTTGGTCACTTTGGGAATAAACGTTGACTTAATCGATTTGGTTTCAGGCTGCTTTCTAAGAATCAGCTCACCCAATACCTTGGCCTGTAATAACAAACTCACTGGCTTATGGCCGCAATTATGCAAGAAAAACATAAACTTCTCGACTGGCCCTAGGCCCTAGGCCCTGCCTGAGCCTCAACCATTTCTGGGCCAAGTTCTAGCCGCAGACAAAGCGACTGCTAATCCCGTGATTTTCGGAACCCAAAGTGCCTGTCTAATCACAGTCACAGCTCCACAGTGCCACCGAAATTGTCAGCTAATAATGCAAACAATAACAGGCAACAGTCCGAAGAAATGGCGCAAATTTCGCATAATTATGGACGGAGAAATAGCGACCACTTCTCTCGTCGAAATTCCCCGGCTAAGGCGTCGCAATTAGCGGAGCTTAGTTTTGGGCCTAGAGGGAGTGTGGTTTGTTTGGATGAGATTCGGGTGCGGGTTTCAGTTTGAGAGCAAAAGCGACCGGAATAAACACAGCCGCCTGGCCATAAATTGGCCGGGACAATGCCTGCCAGAGTGCAGATAGAGCGGCAAGTGTCAGTTGTCCGATGTTTCTACTTTAGCTGCACATAGGGAAAAGGTTCTGAATGGGAAAAAGGGGGATTTGTATATAATTTCTTGTATTTTTTAAATTCATAAGGAAAAGTAACTGCATAAATATGTACTTGTGCTTGGAAAATGCTGAAAAATAAAGTTTTGCTTAAAATTTAGTATACCAAAGAATTTTCCTTAGTGTCATTCCTTTTTCAGAGCGTTTCTAGATCTATAACCATAATTTTTGCCTGATTTAGTATTCCAAAATATTAATATAATTATATTTTCTTGAGTGTCCTTAACATGTCAAAACGTTTCAAGATCTAGAACCACAATTTTCGGCTGATTTTCGTGGCACTTGTTCCGCCTAGCCATGTTTTCTCTTCCTCCGATGTACATACTTCTTTAATGAATTTAATCGCGCGTAATAAACCATTGCAGACGCAGGACTCTTCTGGTTCTTGAGCTGGTGGTGGCGGTGGTGGTGGTGGAGGTTTTGGTGGTGCCGGTGGTGGTGTTGATGATGGAGGTCGCTTATGCTGTTTGCCTTCATTCTTTGCGGTCGTGTGACGTTGATAAGTATTCTGATTTATTGACAAACAAACTGTGAGCGGGCGCGGTGTCGGGTATTGTGGCTGCATTTATTTAAATTTATATATTTATTTATGGGCTTTGCACAGACAAATGCACACACACCACACACACACATACACATAGAGCAGGACAGATGGATCGGTGTACAATTGGAGTCATGCTTTAAGCCCACTTTTCGGCGGCTGGCTTTTTTTTAGTTTTTGTATGCATTTGCTTCGTTGCATTTCCGTTTGATTTCAATAATTTCAACTTCCGGCACAAACCGGAAATGACAAATAAAATGCACCGCCATTCAAATGCACTGAGAACAAAAAACGTGTGCTGAGTTCAACGAGAGTTGCAAGTGCTTTTGTTCACATTCCCATAGTTTGCAGTGTTTTTTTTTGTAGCGCTCTGTGAGTGAATGAAATATTTTATTCTCTTGAACTGTTGGATAAATGTTCTGAATTCTGATTTAAATTTTTTAATGAGTGATTGAAATACAATATATAGTGTAGCAGAGGGTAGCATGGATTTATAAGGGGAGTTTGTTAACAAATATGTGATGTATTATTATAATAAAATATAAACATTATATATGCATTATTATTGTACATGAAATAAAACGAATTCCAAAATGCTTTTATTATTTAGTTCTAAAATACCTTTTGTTAGCAAGTTCAGTTCTTTGTTAACGCCTGTCTTTGTTGGCAGCTCAAAAGGATTCTGTTTAATATCCTTTTTGACGTTTTGCAGCCATGCTTGTTTGCTTTAATTGCATCATCTCGGCGGCAACTGTACGGAAAAACGCATAAATAACGTGATTTTCGGAAAGGCTTCTTTTACCCCAAAAATCCGTGCATAAACGTTTTTCTCTTCTTATTTTTATTTTTCAATTTTTTTTGCAAGGCAGTAAATTTGCAGGCACATGCATATGTGGAATGACCATGAATTACATAAAAAGCCGCAAATACCGAAGTCAAAATGCGTGGCCTCAACGTTTGTGTTGTTGTATGCGAAAAGAGGGGAAAACCATTTCCACTTTGGGTCCCTTGCAACATGCAAACGATTCAGTCGGCGGCGGCGGCAGAAATACAACAAAAATAAAAAAAAGGAATAAAAATCCAAATATATATTGCAATCCTTTAGGCACGCGGAACATAATGAAACGAAAATGCTACTGTGGCAACAGCCAACAGCAGCTGCAAGGACATGCAGGACCCAGGACCAGGACCAAGACCCAGCCGAAGCCGAAGCCGTCCGCTTGCCATTTTTGCCGAATAAAGGAAAATAAATAAAAATGTGAAAATATTTCTTTGGCCAACATTTTTACAGCCGCCCGCAGCCCGCCTCCTTATACCATCGCCTTTCAATTCTTTCGCTGACCCCGCTTGCCAACCAATTCGCAGCAATTTTTGTACAAAAAATGTTTTATTTATTCCTCTGGGGCGGCCTCTGGCTCCTGCCTTGATTCTGCGTTTTCGGGTTGGAAAGTTTATCGCGAATATATTCTTTAATATATATCGAATAAGAAATATATCTTGATAAAACATGTGATAAATTAAATAAATATATATAATTCATTAGTAATATATAGTGTTATTTGGTTAATAATAGAAGGGTTTCTTATTTAATTATTGATATTTATTTAAATACTCTAATGTTTTTATGACTTTGCAATTTTAATTTATCAGAATCTTGTATTTATTTTAAATTCATAATACATAATGGAGGTATTATAATACAATGTCGGGTTTTTAATTTTTAGAAGCCTTCGCTAAAGGAACTATAATATGTAATGGAAAGGAGAGGCACAAACTTAATAATGTCATAATCCTATAAAGAAATTAAGTTTTTAATAACATAAGGCAGATCTCAAAGTAATACTGAACCTATGAATATTTTAAAACTATAATTCAACACTAGATTATCAAATATCAAATGTTTTCTTTTTTTAATAAATAATATGGTTTCTTTAACTAGAAAGTACGGGCACATTAACAAGTGTCATAGTACTAAAAGAAATCTTTTATCCAATGACAGGAAACAGATCGCAAAGAATTGTTGAACCTCTGCTTATTCTTAAATAAAAATTAAACTATTATAATAAGAGTAGGACATATTACCGATAATAATCGAAAGAGTGTAGGGTGTCTGATTACAACATTTTTGCCATCCCTAGAATGTTGCTGGTATCCCCCTCCAATGCACCCAAATCCCTGCAACTGGGCCTGGCCTGTGGCCGCCGGTTGATTTATATTGATGAATGTCCGTTTGTTCGTTAGTTCCGTCTTCGCAGGCTGCCAAAGAGATTTACTTGCAAGGGGCGGGAAGGCGTGGCAGTTATTTAACTCTTTGCCTTTTGTTGTGCTCCACGAGCATGAGCACAAATACATATATATTCGCACACACTCACACACAGTCACACACTGACACATGCTGGGTGCAGTTGCTTATGCTCAGTGCCAGAAATTATTGCATACTTTACGGAAATTAACCGCATTTCCATTTCTTGCACGCACACAGGATGGCCGCGTCATCTCCTCTCTTTCCTCCCCGCTTTTCTTTTCCCCTGTGAACTCCACCCGGAGTTTCCTCGGCTCCTGTTGGCTCTTGTACACATATTTACAATTTTAATGACTTTATTTTTGTGCTGGCATAAAATATTTTCATACACTTGCATAAGGTTTGGATCGAGTGGATATTTTAAGGATTTTGTGCAAAAGTAAAATCTTTGTTTTTGATTTACTTAACTTTTTGAAAAAGGAAAAGAGCTTAGCAGTTTGTAAAGTGGTGGGTATTTTTAAACTGGAGGAGAAAATACAAATTTTTGGACTTTCCAAATACTATTTCATTGTTTAATTCATGAATACATAAAGTAATCTCAATAAATCTTTTAAAATTTATAAGAAACGGTATAACGTTTCAAGAGTATTTAAACTTTGTTTTCCTCAATTGAAGCATTTCCTTTTGTTACATTTTCTGAAAGTCGTTACTGCTGATTCGTTCAGGTTACTTTTGAGTGAGTTACTGTAGGAGTGGTGAGGGAATCAACCGTCGCACAATCATATTTCTTTGTGACATTTTCCTTGTGCATTATTAATCAACCGGGAGGATTTTAATTTATGTTGACATGCACTTATTTATAAAATGCAACCATGGCATAAAACGAAAAGAGAGAAAATACATTTTAACCGGAAACCATATACGAAACCAGACGGTCGCTGATTTCTGAGTTATTTTTCGGCAGCGATTATTCTGAGGTCATTAGAGGAGAGTGCTGAAAGTACTTATTTTATACGGAACCCTTAAAGACACCTGAGCAATAAATTTACTGACAGATATTGTTAACGTGCAAATTCTTACACAATTGCTTTGGCAGTCTCAGAGAATTCTATGAATTCTTACTCATAAAAAATTATAAATTTCCATGTATACAAATTTGAATATACCCACGATTGCGTTAAGAAAGACTTGTACTAGGAAGCGCCAAAGGCTGCCTTAAGGTGAATTAATTAATTAAATTCTTCAAACTGTCTACTTTTCCCCTTTACTGTATTTCATTGAAAGTCGTCACCGGAGCAACAGCACCTGCCATCCTGAAATTATTAATATTTCTTCGTTTTTGATGTGAAGAGCGGAAAAAGTTTATTGCATTCAATCATTGAATGGCAGAGCCATTGCATTGATTGACGGCAGTGACCTGCCCACTCTCCCCCCCCCCGGCCTGGGACCAATGTTCAAGGACTGATCAAAGGGCAATTGGCATGCCGGATGCGTAATCTATTTCAAACAGCGACCATGCAAATCGAAGGAGCTCTCTGGATGCTGCTCCATGACCTCACTCAACTGTCGGCTGTCGGATGCAAGTGAGCACAATACAACACAATTTGCTGGTGTTGCTCTAGCTCCCGCTCTTCTTTTTTTCTAGTTGCCTTCCTTTCGTCCTTTTGTCCTGTCAGGCCGTCTGTCGAACAGCGAGATGCATAGAGAAATTGCATATAAAATGCAGACAAATAACTCGCTCCCCATGTTTAGCGTATGCCCTAACGCCTGACATTAACAATGCAGCAGCAGCAGCAACAGCAGCAACATCGGCAGCAGCAGCAGCAGCAACCAGCTGGCAATAAAATGTAACAAACACATTGACTGCTGACAAATAGCATTGCCTGTCAATTCATCAAAAAGAAAAAGGCAACGGAGAGCCGCAGCAAACGCGCAAAACTATTGACATGCTCACGCATTGAACACTCGAAGAAAAAGGTATTGAAACAGAATATAATTGAGCTTAAAAGAGGAATTGTTTATTAGTATTACAAGAAATATGCTTTCAAACTTTATATACCATATTCAGAGTTCAAAAATACGATATTTGTTTTTAAATAATCAAAGAATTATCTACTTAATTTTATATGGCAGTCAATACATATTACATTTCCTTATTTAAATGATTTTCATTATCTACTCATAGATGCGCTTATATAAACAAAATGAAAATTGTAATGATTGCTCTTATGATTTTGATCGATTACCTTTTAGTTTCAAATATTAAAAATAATGAAAATAAATTTAAATAAATATTCCTTCAAGTGTTTAGAAACTGAATCCAATCGAATAGATATAAGGTGCCAGGGGGCACATCCTTGCACTGCTGACTCGGCAGACTTGCAGCAAATTTGCTTAGCTGCCAAACCAAATGTCGATTGCTGCGAGCCTGCGTGTGAGCGTGTGTCTATAATGGAAGCGAGACGGTTACAAATTGTTTTGAAATGAAATTCAAACTGCATTGGGAAACGAGAAACAGGGCATGTTGCTCCACGACCTCGAAACTTAAAGATGCAACTGCCTTTCCAGCTTAAAAACTTCCTAGCATCATGGACATGGATCAAAGCGATTGTTTGGAATTTGGTTAAGCATTTCAGCTCCATCTCTAGTATCTAACCCTCACCTTCAGCCGCCATACCTTTATTTCATTCATAACAAATTGCCTCAATTATTTCCATTTTGCCTTTCCCCCCCGTCTCTCAGTTCACTGCAAAGGTATAAAAACTTTATTAAAAACTTTTTGTGCCCAAGCCTTTTTATTATACCTTGCCTTGGCCCCTTAGCCGTATATATATTTACGTAGGGATACATATTTATAAAATACACGCACATTTAGGCAGCGCCGCTCCGACCATCATACTGCACTCCAGGGGCGTTGAAGAAATCAAATTAAGAGCATTTTCTTTGGCGAAACTTTTTTGCGCCTGTTTAGAGTTTTATAATACTTCAGAGGCGACCGACAACGCACCACCTTCCTCCTTTTGGCTATTACGGTTCGGGCCATATCGGCTGTTGGTCCTGGCCCCATGTGGTTACTTGAAAAATGCTAAATGGTCCCAAAGCAATTGCAGCCACAACAACATAAATAGCAAACGAGGCCAAAAGCAACAAAAGGGAGCTGCTTTTGGCTTTAAGCTTGGGCCAATGAATATATTTTCTCACTTGCTTAAAATGAGCCCAAAAGAATGGTCTTTATTGTACTCATTCTTTTAGTAGTAAATCCGAAATTCGTAATTTTTTTTGTAACTTTGAATTAAGCGAACAATGTTTGATACTACTTTATAAAATTAAAAAGTTAACCACATAAAGTTAACCATATTCATGGATTCCTGTTGATAACGAAAATAATTTATTATTCTGGTTACATTGAGCGTTTCTTTTGAAGATTGTACAATTATTTTTGTCTCTTCCCATTTGAAGATTAAGCTCTACGTCAAAATTTAAACTCTATAAAGTTTTAATGAAAATTGTTGTATGTTTTAAAGTTATGATGGAAATAGCAAGTTTCTTTTTGATACAAATTTAGTTTTATATTATAAACATCTTTATTTCTGACATATTTTTAACATCTCTATCTCTCAATCTTTGGTGTCTCCAGATTTAATATACGAACTTCAAGCACATTTTCAACTATCCAGTCAACATAGCTCATGATATCGGTGTACATACACGTTTTTGAAGTGCCATAGCTCTGAATGCCATACAGGGTGTAGCGAGTTGTATTCTTATGTTGAAACATCTTGCCCAAAGGACTGCCCAGCTCAAGGCAATTGGCACCGCTTGTAAATGATGCACAAATCTCAGTTTTTTTGGGAGCAGAGATTTCTGTACACTCAGTTGCATTAAGCCGGTTAATGGTATGTGTTCTCGGCTTTTCAAAGGGTCGCATCTCGTTCAGACCCCAAAGTGTGGCACCAAACGTCTTGAGGGCATCCACTCTGGCCTTCAATGTACTATAAAGCAGAATGCAAATTGGTCGAATATGTGGCTTGTAGGTTACCTTCCCATGTAATTGAAGAAGAGCCAAGTCGTTTAGGTTCTCCCTTTCGTTGTACGAGTTATGAACGATGGCAGTTCTTACGTAATACTGCTCATAGGGAAAATTTGTAACATTTTCCTTCTGATGGGATTGGTCGAAATCACCCAACCGCACGAGGCTATCGAAAGGTAATTCGTATAAAAATTTAAATTGAGACTAAAAATATTATATGACCTACGTTTGGGTGCTGTTTATTAAACAACTGGCAGCTGTTATCACATATTCTAGAGGGAAAGATTTCAGTTTTTAAGATGTGACTCAATAGCACGTATACACTTACGTTGATCAATAAGAACCCCTGAGCACTTTTGATTGTTCGATCTAATTAGAGCCAACCAAGGAAATGGGTTTGGTCTGACACCATCTATGGCATCACTAGCAACTCCGCAGTCACGATCCAGAAGCTGAGCTGATCCCTGATGAAGTAGCAGCAATGCAAATGTTATAATCCAAGAAGCGATCGACATTATTGCAGTGAAACGTCTGACAATTGACTGAACAATAACTACATGGGTTTAACTTCAGAGCAGGCGAGGCGATAGCTTATCAGTGAGCAAAGCTATTATTAAAATTATGTGGAATTCAAATATTTAAATGCATATTTCTTGAAAACCTAATCGGGTTTCACAGTTTTGATTAAGAAACACATTCTTAATTTGTATATTTCTTAAGAAGTTCATTGTTTTGATTATGTTTATGTTATATTCAACTGAATTAAAGCAGTTAAGCGGTCCACTTTTACGTTTCCTAGTAATGAATAATAGTAACAGAAACCTATACGTTAATTCTAGATTGTTTAATGATAAATCAGTTCCCATCTTTGATTAAGACATCACACACATTGAACTTATTTTTTTCCCCCGAGTTAACCGGAGTTTACAAGGTCAATTCCAGTAGCTTTTGTTTGCTGTTTTGGCCCCCAATAGTGCTGAAGCTTATTGTTTTGCTGCTTGGCCATTTTCCCGGTGACCATATCCCTTTCAAGTTCAATAATGTCATAGAGCGTGTCGCAGGGCAGGCGTCCAAATTTATGGCCCAAACGGTTGACCTGAAGGCCGCATGGCCCATAGCAGAAGCACGTGCTCCCGGCCAGGGAAATAATTTAGCCAAAAACATGTGAAGCTCGCCATATAAATTATGCACACTCGCTCGACAGACGACAACACATGGGTTGCTTTAAGGTATTGTCTATGCGACCTGCTGCACCACCGGCAGCGGCAGCAACAACAACCAAAACAACAACTACCTACTCCGGACATAACTCACCGCCTTGGCCTTTTATTTTATTGTATTTATCTTTTGGATTACTTTCTGCCATGACCACAACAAATAAACTTGAGCATCTTTGGGAAAACCCACAGCGGCACAGAGGTGGGGCTTTGGAGGAGGGCAGGGGAAAAACTTGGACAGGAAAAGAAAAGATTTCCGTGGCATTGTTGCTGTTGCTTCTTGGCTGGAGTTTGCCCGGAGGTCTAGAGCTGGAGCTGGAGCTGGACAACGGCAACAATTGCGCATGTTAACATACTTGTAAGTAGTTTTTCCACTTTGCCATAGTATGGTAACAGTATTTTCCTTTTTCTATACCCAGTACTTTCTAAGGAGAGAGTTTATATATCTTATTTGTAGAATTAAAGTCATTATTTAATACGTATATATATCAACTAAATATTAGGAATTGTTAGGAAGAGTCAAGCTGCTTTTTTGATGTCTAAAAATTGTAAAACAGTAAGAATTTAAAGTACAGATTTAATGTACATTTAAGAATACAATTTGTTATGTTTTATGCGGAACATTAAATTAACTTTTTAGTTGGTTAGTTTATGGTACCTATACTTAAAATAACCTTAATCTTAATCAAGCATACATTTTATGCTCAATTTCTGTATTTTAATTTTTATTTGAAGTAGCCCACACATTTTCCTAACAGGGTATCCCTAGTCCTATTACAAACTCGATTTTTTCTTATATTGCTTTTCCTTCTTTTTTTTTCCATCCCCCACAACGGACACATTTGTTTTCCTGGGGGCAGTTGCCTTTGTTTTTGTAATTATCTGCACGTTATTTGTGGGTCAATAAAGTTTCGTTTCATAGTTTGAGCGGTTGTCTGGCTCTCAGTTCCGGACAGGATTTATGGCATATGCGTTTTGGGCTAATTTTCAGTGCCGCTGACCATGCCATTGGCCAGTAAAACATTAATGGCGAAGCACCAGGCTAAGGATACGGAGGACAAAGAGCATGTGCAGGAACTCCTGGCTCCTGGCTTCTGGCTCGCTTCTTAAAATAACATCTGGCGATTTAATGGAACCGCGCAATGCTTCCTCGAAGCATTTGCCCCAACGAATGTTGATTAATTTATCGATACGCCGTCGATTGTCGGGCTGTATGTAATTGTAGCTGCCTGTCAAGGGATCGTATTGCCAAAGATTTATAAGTCCTGTACGATGGCGTGAAGCGGTGCTCTTCTTGCACACTTGTGCACAAATCATTTGTGATAAATTGCCGGCAATCGGTGCTCAATTATTTAATAAGCCCGATTCCAATGGGGCTGCCAACAAAAATGAGTTATCAAATTTCATTGCCACTAATTGCTCATTGCGTACTCGTTACCAATCGCGATATATCGAATATCGTTAATGTTGGCACAGCGCTAATTTCGCATCAATCATCGATGCATTGTTAATTCTAATAATTGCAAATAAACAAATTGGCAATGCCATGTTTTCGTTGAATTCGACACTTTTGCATTGGCCGCCCCGGGGCTTAATTGATTATTACAGATGATCGGATGTGCTTATAACACGACCTATACAAACGCACACACTCCAAACTCAATTTCAAATGAATTGAGGCTGCAAATCATGGTGATTTTAATGCAAACACCATTTTGTCCGATAATTAAAATGACATTTTTCGCTTTCGATTTTGCCGCAAAAGTGCATTTTTTACGGTTCGCTTGTATTTTTTGTTGTCTTCACCCTCCTGGCCTACAAGCTAGCTTTAGCCGAAATAGTTGGTAAATTTATTTGCCAAATAAACTGAACACAAAAGCCAATGGCAACGATGAGAGGCACTTGCCAGAACAGAATTAAGCTGACCAAGGCAAAAAAAAAACATATGAAAAAATAAAGAAAAACTAGGGGTAAACAACAAATTGAAAGGCATGAAATGGAAAAGGAGAAATAAACCAACAGAAAAAGTTGATCACAGTAGGAAAAATAAAAAATAGGATAGAAAATAGTACCATCCAGTGCACACATGCAGGTGTTTCTGTGTGTGTGGTAACGTCAATTGTTTAAAAGTGAAAATTCGATTTTGTGGTAAGGCAAAAGGCAACGGGACACAAACAAATGGCGTGCCAAACCAAAAAGCAAAACTTTTCTTTTTCAAATTTTGCCCTGTTTTTTTTCTTCTTGTTGTGCAGCAAACAAATTTTTGTTTTGTTTTGTTTTTTATTTTGGTACCTCCCTTGTCGGTTTGTTTGAATTGTCCCTGGTTATTGTTGGCTGTTCCTCCTGACGCTTTGTGTCAGCCCAGTTGGATGCTGATGTGACCAAGAAAGGAAACAAAAAGAAAGGAAATAAGAACTACAAGAAAAAAGCATCTCGAAGCGTATAAAACAAACGTGAAGCGACGAGCATATAAAAATGGGCAGTTGGAGAAGTAGTCAGAAGAGTGTCCAAGTCGTCCTCTGTCGTGAGCTGCATGGGAAAGCGGCCAAAGCAAAAGGAAACCCAAAAAAAAAAAGGAAAAGCGGCAACGGAGACACAACTCCGTGAAGCTTTTCCACCACTAACAAGAGCCGTAACGATAACGAAAAACAAACTTTAAAAATTGGATTCTTCATTTGCATCGGCAAATCCAATCAAGCCAACGTAAAGACCCCGGCCAGACACATACACAACATAAAGCCGATGCACCACATTCAGAACCACTTCACCACCGGCTCCACCACATTGGCCCACCTGCAATTTGATGCTGTACACTGGGAATAATACTTATTTTCTTAAGATTTGGAATTTTTTTAAGTGTCTAAAATGTTTTTATTACTAATTACAATATTTCGTTTAGGAGTATTAAATATTTAGCTGATATTTGTTGGTAAATATGAATTTTAGTAAAGTAAAAATGAGTCAAGGGAAAGACAAGCAATCATATATGAAATTTATTAGCCATTTAAGTATTTTTAACATTTTACTTATTTACCAATCATTTATATGTTTTTCATAAAAGTAAAAATTAACAACGAAACTAAATATGCTTTACAGTGAAGAAAAAATGAGTTAAGGAAAAGAATAGCAATCATATACGGAATTCTTTACTTTATCTAAACAATTTTCCTTTCTTATGTTGATAAATAAGTTTTTTACTAAAGTAAAAATTAGCAACAAAACTGAATAGTAAAAAGCATAGTACCTATTTACACTTTAAAGACAGATTTTTAGATCAATGTCAGTCTTTTTAATATTACTGATCAAGTAAAACATATCAAAAAGAGCCCAAAAAGTGTTTTAACTATTTTTTAATGATTTTAAAACAACAATCACTTAGTAAATATTTCTAATCTATAAAATATTTCCCCAAGTTTACCGTATTTCCCGCAGTGCATTCTCTGCCGTATGAGCATGCCCCACGTTACGTATACGCCACGTGGACCTGGGTAAGAGTACCCAGACACGAACAATAAATGAAAGGTGTGCGCCGCCTGTTTGTCCATATAGTTGACCATTGCTTATGGCCTGCAACCGACCACGCCCACCCCTCGATAGCCTTCCGCCTTCCGTCCTGCTGAAAATTGGTAACGATTTGTATTGGACTATGGCCGAGCATAAAAGAGGCTGAGTCGGAGTCTGTGTGTGTGTTCCGAATCTTGTTTAAAAGTTTTGTTCGTTTGCCGCTCTCTTTGCCGCGCAGAAAGGAAAGGGGGAGGGAAAATTTTCTTATTTGTATGCCCAGCTCACCTGCCGTTATCCATCTGTCTTGTATCTTCATCAAGTTGGCCTGTATTAAGTCGCTTGTTGGTTGCTCCTCCTTTCGGCTTCTGTGTTTCCGCAATGCCCTGCCCCCTATCCTTTTGGTAGGATGTCCTTGCAACGTTGTGGTTTTTTCGGTGAGCTCTTAACAAAAAAAAAAAGAAATAAATAAAAAAGAAAACCCGGTGGCATGCTTTTTTGGTAGCGGGGGTTATTGATTGCCGGGCATACGTTTGCCATTTTATTACAAGCCGGAAAATAGAGCTGCAAAAATACTACAAAAAAAAACAAGGCAAGAAAAAAGGGCATACATCGAAGAGCCTCACTTTTGGTCTTTACTGCGTTTCTTTTTTGTTTTCGTTTTCGTTTTTTTTTTATTGTTGGTAACCACCGCTTGGATGTTTTCGGGCCTCGTTAATTGCCTCAAAGCGAAACATTTGCGTCAG